TAATGTAAAGGGAGTAGAAGGGGAATGGGATCCTAGACTAACAGGGGACACCACAGCTACATTTAAGCACCTTAAAGGTGCCAAGTACCCTCTGTTCTAATGCACAGGGAGTTGGATGGAATGCTACATTAACATAAGGGACAGAGCTGCATTTAAGCAAATTAACAGTCCCATGTACATTGTGTGCTAATGCAAAGCAAATAGAAGGGGATGGAATCCTAGACAAATTAAAGGGACTCTGGTGGCAATGAAGCACATTAACAGTCCCAAGTATCCTCTGCAGTAATGCAAAGTCAGTAGGAGGGGATAGGATCCTACACTACTAGAAGGCACCATAGCTGCCTTTAAGGACCTTAAAGATACCAACTACCCTCTGCTGTAATGCATAGGGAATTGGAGAGGATGGAATACTATACTAATATAAGGGACAGGAGCCGCATTGAAGCATATTTACAGTCCCTTGTACCCTCTGTGGTAATGCAAAGCAAGTAGGAGGGAATGGGATCTTAGATTAACAGAAGGGACTGTAGTACCAATTACCTACATTAAGAGTCCCAAGTATCCTTTGCAGTAATGCAAAGGAAGTAGGAGAGAATGGGAACATAAACTAATAGAAGGGGCCATAGCTGCATTTTAGCACCTTTAAGGTCCCAAATGCCCTATGTTATAATGCATAGGAAGTTGGAGAGGATGAAATCCCTATGCTAACTTATGGGCTGTAGCTGCATTCAAGCACACTAACAGTACCATGTACCCTCCATGATAATGCAATGGAGTAGGTGGAGATGGAATCCTAGTCTAACAGAAGGGACTATAACTACAATTAAGCATATTAACAATCCCTTGTACACTCTGTGATAATGTAAACTCTGTAGGAGGGGATGGGATCCTAGACAAACAGAAGGGACTATAGCAGTAATTGGGCACATTTACAGTCTCAAGTGTACTCTGTAGTAATACAAAGCAGGAAGGGATGGGAACATAAACTAACAGAAGGGGGCATAGCTGCATTTAAGCATCTTAAAGATCTCAAGTACTCTCTGCTGTAATGCAAAGGGAGTTAGGTGGGGATGGGATCCCAGACTAACAGAAGGCACTGTAAGTATACTTAAGCACTTTGAAGGTCCCATCTGCTATTAAGCATAGGGAGTTGGAGAGGATAGAATCCTACATTAACATAAGGGATCACAGCTGCATTTAAGCACATTAACAGTCCCAAGTACCCTCTGCAACTATGCAAATGCATTAGGTGGGGATGGAATCCTAGGTGAAAGAAGAGCTGCCTTTAAGCATAAACAGTCCCCTTGTACTTTTTGTGGTATTGCAAACCCTGTAGGAGGGGACAGGATCCTAGACAAACAGAAGGGATTATAGCAGCACTTAAGCACATTATCAGTACCTTGTACCTTCTGTAAGTAGGTAGAGGATAGGATCCTAGACTAACAGAAGACACCATAGCTGCATTTAAGCACTTAATTGTCCCTTGTGCCTCCTGTAGAAATGCAAACGTTTAGGAGGGGCTAGGATTATAGACAAACAGATGGGACTGTAGTGGCAATTAGGCATATTAACAGTCCCAAGTATCCTCTGCAATAATGCAAAGTGTAAGTAGGAGGGGCTGGGAACACTAACAGAGGGGTTGTAACTGCATTTAAGCTTCTTAAAGATTTCCAGTACCTTCTGCAGTAATTGAAAGGGAGTTAGGTAGCAATGGGATCCCAGACTAACAGAAAGCACCATAGCTTAAAAACACCTTAAAAGTCTCAAGTACCTTCTGTTGTAATGCACAGGGAGTTGGAGAGGATGAAATCCTACACTAACTTAAGGGACCATGGCTTCATTTAAGCACATTAACAGTCCCAGGTACCCTCCATGATAATGCAAAGGGAGCAGGTAGGGATGGGATCTTCATCTAACAAAAGGGACCACAGCTGCATTAGAGCACATTAACAGTCCCAAGTAGCCTCTGCAATAATGCAGAGTTAGGTGGGGATCGGGTCCTAGATTAACAGGAAAGATCTTAGTTGCATTTAAGCACATTAACAATCCCTTGTACCCTCTGTGGTAATGCAAACAGTGTGGAATGGGACAGGATCCTAGATTAACAAAAGGGATTGTAGCAGCAATTAGGCACACTAACATCCCAAGTATCCTCTGCAGTAATGCAAAGCAAGTAGGAGAGGACAGGAACATAAACTAACAGAAGGGGCCATAGCCACATTTAAGCACCTTGAAGGTAGAAACTACTCTGCTGTAGTGCATAGAGGGTTTGGCAAGGATGGAATCCTACATTAACATAAGGGTCTGTGGGTGCATTTAAGCACATTAACAGTCCCGTGTATTCTCCATTAAAATGTAAAGGGAGTTTGTGAGGGTGGGTTCCCAGTCTAACAGAAGGGACCAATGCTACAATAAGTTCATTAGTGTCTCAAGTACCCTCTGCAAGAATGCAAAGGGAATTAGGTGGGGATGGGAACCTGAGTTAACAGAAAAGACAGTAGCTGCATTTAAGCACCTTAACAGTCCCTTGTATCCTCTGTGGTAATGTAATCCATGCAGAAGAGGATGAGAATCTAGACAAACAGAAGGGACTATAGTGGCAGTTAGGCACATTAACAGTCCCAGGTAGCCTCAGCAGTAATGCAAAGGAAGTAGGAGGAGATGGGAACATAAACTAACAGAAGGGGCCATACCTGCTCTTAAGCACCTTAAAGGTCTCAAGTATTCTCTGCTATAACACAAAAGAAGTAGGAGTGCATGGGATTAACAGAAGAGACTATAGCTGCAATTAAACTCATTAACAGTCCCAAATACCATCTGTTCTAATGCAAAGGAAATGGGAAAGCATAGGATCTTAGACTAACAGAAGGGATTGTAAGTGCAATTATGCACAGTAACAGTCCCAAATGCCCTGCCATGTAATGTAAAGGGAGTAGAAGGGGGATGGGATCCTAGACTAACTGGGGGGACCACAGCTATGTATAAGCATCTTAAAGGTGCCAAGTACCCTCTGCTCTAATGCATAGAGAGTTGGAAAGGATGGAATCCTACATTAACATAAGGGACAGAACTACCTTTAAGCACATTAACAGTCCCATATACACTGTGTGCTAATGCAAAGTGAATAGAAGGGTGTGGAATCCTAGAGTACTGAAAGGGACCACAGCTAAAATTAAACATATTAAGAGTCCCAAGTAGCCTCTGCTGTATGCAGAAGGAGTTGGAGGACATGGGACCCCAGACTAACCAAAGGGACCACAATTGCAAATGAGCACATTACTAGTCCCAAATCCACTCCCAGATAATGCAGTGAGTAGCAAGGGATAGGACCCTAGACTAAGAAAAGGGACCACAGCTGCAACTCAGCACTTTAACAGTCCCAAAGATAATACAAAGGGAGTTGAAAGATATGAGATCCTAAACTAACAGACAGGACCATGACTGCAATTAAGCACCTGAAAGGTCTGAAGTACCCTCTGCTGTAATGCAAAGGAAGTAGGAGTACATGGAAAACTAGATTAACAGAAGGGACTATAGCTGCATTAAGCTCATTAACAGTCCCAAATCCTCCATCTGCTCTAATGCAGAGGAAGTGAGAAGGCACAGGATAACTAGATTAATAGAAGGGATTGTAACTGCAATTAAGCACATTAACAGTCCCAAATGTCCTGCCATTAATGTAAAGGGAGTAGAAGGGGAATGGGATCCTAGACTAACAGGGGGCACCACAGCTACATTTAAGCACCTTAAAGGTGCCAAGTACCCTCTGTTCTAATGCATAGGGAGTTGGATGGAATGCTACATTAACATAAGGGACAGAGCTGCATTTAAGCAAATTAACAGTCCCATGTATATTGTGTGCTAATGCAAAGCAACTAGAAGGGATGAGACCCTAGACTAATAGAAGAGATTGTAGCTGCAATGAAGCACATTAACAGTCCCAAGTAGCTGCTGCAGTAATGCAAAGGAAATAGGAGGGGATGGGAGTATAAAACTAACAGAAGAGGCTATAGCTGCATTTAAGCATCTTAAAGGGTCCAAGTACCCTGTGCTGTAATGCATAGGGAGTTGGAGACAATGGAATTCTACAGTAATATAAGGAACCACACAGCTTCCTTAGAGCACATTAATAGTCCAAAGTACCCTTTGCAATAATGCAAAAGGAAGTTAGGTGGGGACAGGATCCCAGGTTAACAGGGGAAACCATAGCTGCCTCTAAGCACATTAATGGTCCCTTGTACCTTCTGTGATAATACAAACTGTGGGAGGGGATGGGACAAAGAAAAAGAAAAGGGAAAGTAGTAATTGGGCACATTTAGAGTCCCAAGTATCCTCTGCAGTAATGCAAAGTAGGAGGGGATGGGAACATAAACAGAAGGGGTCATAGCTACATTTAAGCACCTTAAAGGTCTCAAGTACCCTTTGCTATAATGCAAAGCAGGAACAAGTGGGAAACTAGATTAACAGAAGGAACTATAGCTGCAATTAAGCTCATTAACAGTCCCATTGTACCCTTCATGATAATGCAAAGAGAGTAGGTGAGGACAGGATCTAACAGAAGGGACTGTAACTACAATTACACACATTAACAGTCCCAAGTACCCTCTGCAGTAATGCAAAAGAATTTAGATTGGGATGGGAACCTAGGTTAATAGAAGAGACCATAGCTGCCACTTAGGCGCATTAACAGTCCCTTGTACTCTGTGTAATGCAAACTCAGTAAGAGGGAGGAGATTGGGATCCTAGACAAACAGAGAGGACTCTGGCAGCAATTAAGCACATTGCAGTCCCAAATATCCTCTGCAGAAATGCAAAGGAAGTAGGAGGGGGTGGGATCTTAGACTAACAGAAGGCACCATAGCTGCCTTTGAGGGCCTTAAAGATCCCAACTACCCTCTGCTGTAATGCACAGGGAGTTAAAGAGGATAGACTCATACACACTAACATAAGGGACAG